GGGGGGGGGGGGGGGGTAGGGATTCAATCACTGCGCTAAACTAATTTTGGTATAACTAATTTTGGCGGGCATTTTGCCTCATAGTGCTCGTGCAAGGAAGCAAAAACTTTAAAAATCTTATGTTTTGTCAGATGTGTTGAAGATTACCACAAACTCAAACAAACACAGTTTTTAATCCAGTCCCCCCTCGGCAATCTGACGTTTGTGTTGACAGAAACGTCGCTTTTAAATTAATGCACCAGTCAATGTAAATCTCCGCCCCCCCCCCCCTCCCCAACAACCGGGGGGGGATGGAGGGTTTAAACGGGGAAAGTGGTCAGTTTTGATTGCAAATACGTCCCCGATAATCGGGGACTTGGACAACATTTTCTCTTTCGGTAGACGATGTGGGGACGAAAGCCAGTGAATGTATTCATAGTTAATAGAGGAGATGGTTTGGAAACTCATTAGCATTACAATAAACGTCACTATCTATGTTTTTGTTCAGGTTTATGCAAAAATGTGGTCTTTCATCGTCACGTGCGTATTGTATTTTTGCTCAACCAGCCAATAGCAACGGTTTTATCCAATTGCCCATCCATGACTTTAACAATAGGACATTTTGAACATTCCTATTGGTTGACTTGAGAAAAATACAATACGCACGTGACGATGAAAGACCACATTTTTGCATAAACCTGAACAACATAGATAATGAGGTTTATTTTGATTTTATTGTAATGCTAACGAGTTTCCAAACCATCTCCTCTATTAACTATGGTTGCTGCTTTAGTTATCCTTACAAGAAAAGTTTAAATACAATAACATATGTGAATTTGATTTTCTATTGCTGAACTATGAAATATACAAAACTATTTTCCCGGGGTTGAAAGACAAGTGGGGACATTGATTTCCCTGGGGGGCACTTTCGCTCTTTCGCACAGAGCCTATGGAACCAGGGTAAGTGCAGGGCAAATTTATGAATATCATTATTCATATGTTCATGAATATCATTATTCATATGAGCCTATGGAACCAGGGTAAGTGCAGGGCAAATTTATGAATATCATTATTCATATGTTCATGAATATCATTATTCATATGAGCCTATGGAACCATAGACTTGCTCCAAGTCTCTCTTTGTGGACATCTATATATTGTACATCTATATTGTACGTTACATGACGTACCGCTGAGGGGGAGAGGAGGCAAGAGAAGAGAGACTTGTAACATCTGGCAAGCAGACATACTTCCGGCTGGTCAATTTCGACCAGCCGGAAGTAGATGGCCGCATTGACTTATCACGTGTTTAGGGGGGGAAGGCGACATTTCAGAGTTATTTGTTTAGCACGAGTAATTTACTAATTTTGTATTCACGAGATTTCTTGTAGATTTCACATCGCTTTTGACTGCGTGCATTTGGAATTTTGGGCATTATTTTTGCAATTTATTGTAAACAACGATTATAAGAAGAACGGATAAATTACAAATCAGCCGTAATCGTCATAAACCTCGATGACCACCAGTGTTTGACAATTTATATTTCATTAGATATTTATATGCAAGGTCAGTATGTTTACGGGTTATCATATAAAATGATCATTCTAATGAATGAATTGATAAAACAAATTATTGCTATTAATATGTACGGCCGCGTTTTTTACACGAAACGAAACGTTTAGCTTGATTGTTGAATAAATCGATGACTTGCTTAGTTGCTTTCTGTTTTAAGCTTAACCACCGTTTAAGCTAAACGGGCTTGATACAACTGGCCCCAGACTCGGCCCCAGATAAACATTTTTGTATTATCGAGATCGAAACTATAGTAAATTGGAAACCGTGTCAATAATAAAAAACGTACAATGAACTTATGAACATGCGGAAAATTGTCACGCCCAAAATTTATACAAATTTTTAAAATTTTCCGCATGTTCATAAGTTCATTGTACGTTTTTTATTATTGACACGGTTTCCAATTTACTATAGTTTCGATCTCGATAATACAAAAATGTTTATCTGGGGCCGAGTCTGGGGCCAGTTGTATCAAGCCCGTTTAGCTTAAACGGTGGTTAAGCTCAAAACAGAAAGCAACTAAGCAAGTCATCGATTTATTCAACATTCAAGCTAAACGCTTCAGTAGTGGCCGTGTAAAAAACGCGGCCGTACATATTAGATATAATTCGTTTTATCAATTCATTAGAATGATCATTTTATATGATAACCCGTTTATACTGACCTTGCATATAAATATCTAATGAACTACAAATTGTCAAACACAAAAACCTGGTGGTCATCGAGGTTTATGACGATTACGGCTGATTTGTAATTTATCCGTTCTTCTTATAATCGTTGTTTACAATAAATTGCAAAAATAATGCCCAAAATTCCAAATGCACGCAGTCAAAAATGATGTGAAATCTACAAGAAATCTCGTGAATACAAAATTACTTATGTTAAACAAATAAGTCCAGATGTCGCCTTCCCCCCCTAGACACATGATAAGTCAATGCGGCCATCTACTTCCGGCTGGTCGAAATTGACCAGCCGGAAGTATGTCTGCTGCCAGATGTTACAAGTCTCTCTTCTCTTTCCTCCTCTCCCCCTCAGTGGTACGTCATGTAACGTACAATATAGTGGGTCTCCACAAAGAGAGACTTGGAGCAAGTCTAGTTTCCAATCAACTTGATGATCGCGTGTTTATAGTTCCCAAATTCCCAACCAACCTGGCAACTGGCGCGGCCAAAGTTTCGTGAAATCAACTGTAATTTGAAGCGTGATAAGTTCGTTGCAAATAGATGTCGGTTTTGACGAGTTGTCTATTTAGCGTGCGTCGTGAGGGGTAGCAGCCTAGTCCCTGGCCTTCCAAGCTCGGGCGAGTTACCGCTGTCGTGAACTTGCGGGCTGTCAGTTTCGGAAAACATCCGAACTGGGTATACAGCTTTATCCCGGTCAACCTGCAAACCTTGTCGATTTCCCCCTAAAATAATGAGGCGGAAGCTAGAAGGCCAGGAACTAGGCTGGGGGTAGCAAATCTTCGAGTTAAGCCGCTCGAGTTAAATTAAGCCCTTCGAGTTAAGCCCCGACCACGCCCTTTCGAGTTAAGCCACGACTACGCCCATGTCACGCCCATGTCACACCCATTTCCGTTGAGGGCTTAACTCGAAGTACATAACTGGAGTTAGGTACTTCGAGTTAAGCCCTCTAGAAAATAGGGGCTTAACTCGAGCAAAGTCTAACATTTTGTTCTTCGAGTTAAGCATCAACGTTTGAAAGATGTAAACGAGCTACGGTTAATCTGATCCCAAACAAATTAAATTGTCATTTGGATCGCGTTTCGTTCAATCACAACCACGGTTCAATATTAGGGACTTTAAGATTGACGTTTACGGCAAACCGCAAACGACAAACTATGATTTAGCTACTTTTAGCTAATAAAGGAATAAAGATCGACCTTTTCTGCCGTAAAAGTCAATCTTAAAATATTATCAAATTGTATACCGGTGTCCCAAAAAACACCGGACTCTGTTTGATTTCATGACTTGTAACGCAAAAGCTACAAAAGCTATCGCAGATTCGCAATGAAATAAAGATCATTGCATTCATAATGAACTTAGATTTTGATTAGCAATTAGTTCAAATTTGTGCGGATTTCTATTGTTCTCAATAGGGTTTTATTTGGGTAAGAATCTGAAAGCAAGGGGAGGGATTTGATATCTCCCCAGGGAAAAGCGGGGTTGATAAATAGAATTGAATTGGATTGACGATTAAATATACACCGGGTTTTATCTATATAAAACCCGGATTTTTGCGGGTTATATATATATAAAACCCGCAAAAATCAGGTTTTATATACTTAGATAAAACCTGGTGAATATTTAATCATCAATTCAATTGAATTCTATTCATCAACCCCCCTTTTCCCTATAGAGATGTCAAATTCCCTCCACTTGCTTTTAGATTTTTACCCAAATAAAACCCTATTGAAAACAAATTTAGAATCTTTGCTTCGACAAACCCATACACATATTGTTCGTTATAGCGCTTCTACCTTCGGCCCACTCTTTTCAAATACGATCGAACTGCCCAGATGGTGTTGTGTCTTGTGCCTACAGTATATTCGGTATACGCTCAATACGCGTTTTTCAAGACTCTTTGTTTATCTCTGTCTAGTTTGAGCACTGCAAATCCCAATGGTTCGTCATTTGCTTGCAAAAATTCTCTTTCCATAAGCCTACATTTTCATCTGATTCCGGTTGCCTGGAAGCATTTTTTTCGTCGCTACATAGTTCGAACACGTTTCAATCTCATTTTCATATGGACCCCATGGTAACAATCGTTATTCTCTTAATTCAATGCAAGTATTTTCGACAAAAAAGTAGATTTAATTGTTTTTCAATCCTTACAAATTTGAACTAAGTCAGTTAATTACCTCGAACGTCGGTTTCTTAGCGAGATACAACCCGAGGGGCGTTGCCCTCAGAAAGCATCCCTCGGGCCTACGGCCCTCGGGATGCTTTCTTCGGGACACGCCCCTCGGGTTGTATCTCGCTAAGAAACCTCGTTCTCGGTAATTAACTCTTACTTAATCACGAACGTGTCATTTTAAAATTGAGCGCAGGGCTGGTTTACAAGAGTAAACAAGACGTTTATGATATTTATGCGTACGTCGGGAGTTAATTTTCAATAGTTTTAGACCCAATTCTCAACGGTGGAAATATGCACTTTCGGTGGAAATATGCACTTTCACATCATATGGTTCTTACAACTATTCAATTGCAAGTCTTCATTATATGGAACGATTTCATTAGACTGCACTGTCTGCACATATTTCAAAACGGTAATGAAAATGTGCGTGGTATGGTATTATCATTCACCACACTTCAAATTCTACAGTACTGTATATTACATGTGTTGGGGTACTTGACATCGACGCATTCGTCTTCTCAGTGTCACTAAAATGCAAGATAGATTGGCCTCTTTGTAGTATCTTTGCTTGGAAAAACTAAACTAGAATTTCGTCCTAAAATGCCATTTCATGCCTTTTCCACGAGCAAATTATTTCAGCCATGGTTTATGTTTCTGGCGATGTTTAAATTTCAGTCCCCAAATTCCTACCGAGTCAACGGACTCGGTTGACTCATAGCTTCGTTACGGGCCTGCAGATCTAATGCAAAATCTAATGCGCTTACATTTTTTCGCAAAAGTTACGCAACTGCCGTTGCTATGGCAACAATCACGTTTAAAATGGCGGATATTTTGGCTTTAATTAAAGTAACTTAACTCGTAAGGCGACATCTGTGACTCCTCTGCTCTGGAAAATTTATCTTTGCGAAATACTTTTGTTTAGTTTTACATTATAAGTACAATCTATGTTTATCAAATATTTTATGAAATTAACGGATTTGTGAAATCGAGAGCCGATTCAAAATTGTCTTCTTTTTTTATACACCGCTGTAGTTATACGTAAATTGATATTCACTATAATTTTGTCGGCAAGTTTTGCTTATGATCTGTTACAAATTTGGTACAAATTAAAGTGCTAATGTTCAAATTTTCAATCAATGAAAAGTTAAAGTTGTTAAATACGTGTATCGTCGTTTAAATTGGCAGGATAAGACCATGTGCAAATCATGGTGTATGCATTCAGCGTGTAGAACGTGACGAGTAGAGGTGGAAAAAAATTACTTGCAACGAATAATTATGACCCTTGTTTAACTATACTGATTGGAAGCTTAACTAGATAAGTATTTTTTCCATGATGAACTTTGGAAATTCGTTGCACTCACAAACCGTTTCGTTTGCTTTTTTCTAATAATCGACACCAGATGCTTTGTTCACAAGCGTCAATTTCATTATGAACTTTTGTACTTGCGAACGAATTAGTTTGGAACATTTAGTCAAAAGCGTAATATAATATCACTTTTACTTTAGCTTTTAAAAAATATATTCATTGTCTATACGACCACCCAACAACGTACCGACGACGCACTACCCACGACGCACCGAACCCACGCAATTTAGCCATCCTCAAGTTTGACACTTCAATATAGAATCAACATTGCAAGCCAGGTTCTCTACTCTACCTAAGAACACTCAGCATTCAATATGTTTTACAATTAGAGGACTCACAATTACAATTACAAAGGAAATAAAACTGCAATTGTCTTTGTGTTCGGTTTATAGATATAGACAATCGGCCAACGATTGTTTAGAATTCCTTACGCCCGTATTCTAAAAGCTCACTCACGCTCACACTCAATGAGTGGAGGTTCAATCTGAGCTTCTCTTGAATCTCAGTGCTGTTTTTGAATAGCTGGAGGGTGAGTAGTCACATAGTAACGTACGTCACTAACCCTCCAGTTATTCAATAAGAGCATTGACACTCAAGAAAAGCTCAGATTGAACCTCCACTCATTGAGTGTGAGTGAGCTTTCAGAATACGGGCGTTATTCTTCAAAATTTGGGATGGCCCACATATCATCACACAACGGTTACTAAAATTTATAGCCTGCTGACAGAATTATGTAAAAGGTAGGTATTAATTCATGTCGATAATTCCAAGGCTTTGTTGAATCCTATGTTGTTTTGTATTAGATGTTGCGAATCGACTCGCAATTTTATAAACAAGCGTGAAACAAATCTATTTCCAACCAGGCCTTAAATTATCTTTTACAGAACCGTCTGCAATCTGCGTAAGCCTGCCGCACGCGAGAAACTTGCCGAGCCTCGAGTGACAGCTAGCTCAGCTATGTATTTCCACCGCACACCACATCTCAGCGTCTTAGATTTTTTCCTCGCGAGGTGAAAAAATAAAAAATAGAAATTCGTCAGCTCTCGTGCAATGAAAAAATATGAACAAACTTAATTACCAGAAATGTCGCAACAACGATATCGCTTCCTTCGTTCTGCGAAACAATGCTTTATATTTTCGCTAGCCAAAATTATTCTATCAACATATGCCAACACAATTCAAGAGCATGCGCTTTAGAAACTACTGCAAGTTGTCTTGCACTTCCGGTTCGGTGTGTCCCATGTCCTAGGACCTGGGGACGAGGATGATCCAAAACGTTATATCAGGGTTCGTACATGTCAGGAAGAGTCAAATTCAAGGACTTTTCAAGGACATGTATCAGCAAATTCAAGGACTAAATATTGAAGAAGAAGGCGTTAGAAATCAGCAAAATCTGACGTTGAATTGTTCAAAACGTAACTTTATAAGGAGGTCAGATATGAACATGCAAAATCAGTTCAACAAAAATGTCCGTCTTGAATGTCAAACAATTTCAGAAAATATCCAAAAACTAAAGCAAGAAGAATTCAAGGACATTCAAGCACTTCTTTACAAATTCAAGGACATTCAAGGCCTTTCAAGTTTTGTACGAACCCTGGCTATATATTACACATGTACTATACTATAAAATAAATTATGTTCGTAGTAGAAGCTTTTACCTAAATTATTTCCTTTAGAAGGGAATTATTGTTCTTTTCGGTAACAGGCAATTCATGTCATTCATACAACCCACTAGGTGCTACCCCACTACCTTTATACCTATGCTTATTTATTCGTGGTCTTACACTACCATGTATATCAACACAGTGGTTGTGGTATGTCTTCAAGTATTCACACGGATTGAGAAGTCTCCTTTTCATCTTGTTCCTTAATACCCAAATCAGTTTGTTTTCCGCTCCAAGGACATTCATATCATAATCCAACTCCGCCAGAACAGACTCGTCTAAAGGTTGTGTAAGCACAAAAATGTAGGTATCGTGCGAACCAAAATAGCTTACTCCACAATACCCAAGTTTTCCGCCCATATTGCATCTTTTTTCCTGACGTCCATGGCGTGTTAAAATGTAAGATATATTACTTTTTACTAGAAATGTTTTATTTATCATTTCAAATCCTTCGCCAAGATAAATATCCATGTTCATCATAACCACAAACCGATTTTGGAGCCTGTCGTTTACGTAATCGAAGAAATCTCTGTATTTCGGCAAGGCGTTGATGCGATGTACAAATATTTTGTGTTTGTTGTGAAAATTTTGTTCGTTCAATCTTTGTTCGGCTGATGGTTGACTAACGAGAAGATGAACAGCTGTGACTAAAGTGTGGTTGAGATTTTTCTGTAATGTTTCTTCTAGTTCTTCCTGTCGTTGCAATAGTCTGGATATATTGGTCTCTGTTTGGTTTCGTTCCAAGGTTTTTCAGTCATCAAGGGATAGTTACTTATTACATGGATACCTGATTCCTCCTTCTGATGTGGGGCGTCATAACGGTTATTCAAAACAGCTTTTAGCCAGGCGAAGCCGTATAAGGTAAAAATCGCTCCAGAAACCAAAAATAACTTGAAGTACACTTTCCGTTTAAGGATGGCCATTCCTTACAAGATCCAGGATAATTACAAAGGATTTATCTATTAGAAGGCTGAAGGACGTGTTGGTTTGATTTACCAAGTGAAGACTTATGATGCGTTTCTTCAAAATCAATCTTTCACATCAGCCTAAATATAGATTATGAATCTTTTAACATAAATAAAGTATTAATCTTCTAAAGATTAATAATTTACAGTCAAACCGGATGTTCTGTTCAATTGCAATTTTGATTGCGAGATTGCTCTGAGGAAGTTACAACCGACGTGATCAAATTGCAAGTTGAAATTCACAACCAGATTTGTAAACAAAGTCTTTGATTGGCTACTAGTAGCAAAGAAGAACCAATCCATTTGCTCAGAGTATTTCATTGGTTCTTCTTTGCTACTAGTAGCCAATCAGAGACTTTTTTTACAAATCTGGTTGTGAATTTCACGTCGGTTGCAACTGGCTCAAAGCAATCTCGCAATCAAAATTGCAATATTCCCAACAATATTGCAATATTCCCTGAATATATACAGAACATCCGGTTTGACTGTAACAGTTTAAAACAAAACAATTCCTTTGATCAAATTACGCTTGTCTCAACGAGATGGACTCTGCACGGTGTATCAAAAAACTGCACAGTTCGAAAATTTGAACTGTTTTTTACAGTTTCAATATTAGTTTGTAAATTTCTGAATGGTAAAACTTGCCAATACTCCAATAATACGTTTCAAAATAGACAAAAAAAGCTTTAGTTTTGCAGAGTTAAATTCTCAAACGTGTAAGGCACTAATAAGATGAAAGTATCACGAAATTATTTGAATAAACCACATCGCACATATGGGGGGCGAATATCCTAAATGGGGGCGATATTCCTAGGGTATTCTCCCCCCCCCGGGGGGCGATATTCCTAGGAATATCGCTCCCCTTTTGAGAGGGGGGCGAATCTCCTGGGGGGGGGGGCGAAAGTCCTGTGACAACGGCATAGGCAAATAGCAGTAGCTTTTTAAAAATCCTATCTTGCCCCCCCAAAGGGATGCAACTACCTGAAAAATATAAGGAGAATTTCGATGTTTCGGTCGAAGGCCCTTCCTCTGGAGTTACTATCGGGGTTCGGGATAAGTACATGAGGTTTAGACTAAGAATATAAAAGCGATCACATTGCAAAAAAATAAACCAATCAGATGCATTTGGTCAAAACAAAAAGTATAAACAAAAAATGTAAATCACATTACAGAATATATTAATACAAATATACAGAAAACTGCAGCAAATACAACAAAATATATGAAACAAGCATCGAATAAGGTAAAAAGTACTGTCAATGTCTGCTTCAGACAGGCAAAGATAGATAGAGTTAAACATAGGAAAAACGTTCATTAATGTCATAGGGGTGGAAATGCCAAAGTGCCAAGTTTGGAAATGAGGTACTAGAAATGGGCGATCTCATACTATGTAAAGTGTATTAGGATATTACAGTTTATATGGCTAAGCCGGGAATTTTACTTTTCTCACGAGGCAATTTACCTTGTCAGTTGTCATGTAATGACAGAGACTATAAGCCACATTATCTAAATCACTCAAAACTAGTTGCAAAGAAATGTGAACATGCTCGCCATTCTACCATGTCGAAACTTTAATATCCTAAAATACTCTTAACGGATTGAAATAGAAAATGATAAACAGTGATTACTGTAAGTGTTTGAGGAATAACCCCTTGGCCATGGCTTACAATTTTCCAGAAATTAAGGAGTGAATTGTAGAAAAATGGCGATTTAACGATTTAATGAGATTCGGCGACCAACAAAAATACAACATGTATATAGTGCCAGGGAATATACGCCATTTTACATAATTACATTAGCATTAATCTAGACAGTGTAACAAACTTACAAAAGCACATCAGACAACTAATAACATCTTAATACACTTTCCAATACAGCTAGATTTCCATGTACGAGGATCATTACAACTGTATGTGTTGCATAGCGCGTTCTCATAAGCCTGCATGTGTTGCATAGCGTGTGTTGCATAGCGCGTTCTCGTAAGCCTTATTTAGAAGCATGCAGTCCAATATCTCTATGATGAAGGTCGCAACTTAAAATGTTCAATCGGTCTTACTAGCTCTAATAAAGTAGGCCTAAGAAATCTGGAAAGTAACAGTCTTTGCAAATGGTATTGTGAATTTGATTAAGGTTCTTATCTGTGTCGCTTCTTGTAATTCCGCGTCGTGTAGCCTGCGTGCAGGCCCAAGGGAACTTGGTAGTGGGCCTGCAACCATCGCCCCATGTTTTCGATTTTCGCCGGCCGAACCGCCGGCTAAATTCCCATTGGCTAGCTGAGGCGATCGGTAATTAATTAACCTAGCCCATTGTGCAGGCACAAGGGAACAGTGATTCATCACAAAGGCATAGACAAAGGCTGTCGATAAGCTTAAAATTTGAAAATTGATCACTTTTTTCGATTACAAATGGAACAAGAACAGACTGTTTATTGTTTACTTGAAGGAAGACATGTTTTTGCCGTTATGCCAATGGGGATTGCTTGTCGTGAGGTGTTGGAATAGCAACATTACGACTGGGGTAAACTATAGTAACCTTTACTTGAGTTTCATTAATTTCAAACAGACTTCAGTTGATACGTTATGTGTTCTCACTTCCTCAAGAAAATTATCTTTTGGTTGATGTTGAGATGCAGTTGCATGTAAGAACTGTAAGCCTATTCGAAACACTTTGCGATTTACAAGGCTTCGCAGAGAGAGCGAAACAGAAGGCGGTATTAAATTGCCGTTTGAAACGAAACGATCTGGACTCGGAACGCTCTCTTCTTTTGTAGAGTTCTTTACCAAATGAAATAAATTTCGTACTTTCCGCCGCCAACAAGAATTGCACACACGATCTGATAAGTGAGACAATTTATTTATAACAATGCCAATGGCGACAGCGAAGCACACATAATATAAATCCTAATGTGGTCGCCCGACTTCCCTCATGATTTGAAGTTTGAGACTGGTTTTCTGTTGAATTTCGTCCTAATTTGCCTGTTCCGATTTTAGTTGAAAATGAGCACTTGCAAATTTGGCAATTACTGACCGCGTTGCTTGCTTTTTTGGAGTTAAAACGCAGCCATTTACACATTGTTTATTAGTGTTCTGAATAAGCAGAGAAAACCCCGCAACATTTTAATGCGAGTTTGTTTGTTAATATTTGGGTGCTGTCATTGGTTCTTTTTTGACAATTGACGCGCGAATGGGGCGTGTTATGAAAAGGGGCGTATTTCAAAATACCGGGCGATGGTTGCAGGCCCACTATCAAGTTCCCTAGGCTACGCGTCGTGTTATTGTTGGTCAAGCTGCAGTATAAAACATTAATTGGTGATGAAGCCGAGCTTTAAAATACCATGGTATACATCTGCCATGGCAAGTGTACTATGGCTTTTTAAAACTTATGCATTATCAAAATTTTTTTTTGAATATTCTACAAGCATTCCAAGAATGTGACGCTTGCATGATCAAGGGCGCGAAGCCAACATCGTTGCTGCCTGACGTATATACGAAACTAAAGTTCTTTTTTATATAAAAGAAGTCACAATTATATTGTGAAGTGCATTGTTTTAAGAGGTAGAACTTTTTTATAGAACCTGCATATAGTTTCATTGTGAGGCAATGAAGGTCTGTGTACAAGAATTTCGTTTTCAAGTATGAGAACATATTATATACAACGTCTCAGTTATTCGTACAAAAACTACGCAATTATAATATACCTATAGGCGTTCAAATCTTTTACGTTTCTAATAGGCTTAAAAACCAGACGTTCCTAGAACCACCGGACAGCGTTTTATCCAGCTTTCGTATACAACCGGCCCCAGAAATCTAGTCCACTACTCTACATGGTGAGCTATACAAACTACAGAGATTGGTGGTGATTTTATAATTCCAGCCATAGACTAAATTTCGATCTAGGAAAGAAGAACAAAATCCATCATCACAGATAGAAAGAGCATGTTAAAATTAGTAGTTTGGCCGCGAAATGCTGTAAAATGCGGAAAATAGATAGCCCTGCGAAGTTTTCAAATTTTGCATTAACTTGTATTCTATACGCGCGGGAAAATGCACCACATTTGGGCCAAAAGTGGTGCATGAAACCGTGCGTAAAACATGCAAATTAATACAAAATTTGCAAATTTCGCAGGGCCATCTTTTCCTCATTTTATAACATTTCTCAACCAAACTTTGCAATTTTACTAATTCTAACATGCTCTTTCTAGCTGTGGTGATGGATTTTGTTCTTCTTGCCCAGATCAAAATTTAGTCTGGAATTGCCTATTGGTGGAGAGTTATAGTGTTTATCATTTGCAAAGGTATTACCTATGAGCTAGTACAAAATACAAGGATAACTAATTAGACTTACCGCGCTGTTCGCGAATGGTGACTTATAGGAAGTCTTTGACGATTTTCTAACAAAAAATTCTTAATTGCGTCAACCGTTTTAGTTCAAGTCTTAACTGTTGTAATCACCAGGAATGCTATATAGTGCCACAGTTGAGCATGTACAGTACTCTACAATTGGTCTCACACATGTGACACGAGAACACGAAATATATAGTTGGTTAACTATAGGCGGGGGTTTAAATTTACTTTAATCTATATGTTGGTGTAAAATCAACGCACTTACCAAGGAGCAAGAAGCAAAAGCAACACAGCTATCAACAATACTT